ACCTGGGAGGCAGAGGTTGCAGTGAGCCGAGATTGAGCCACTGCACTCCAGCCTGGGCAACAGAGTGAGACAGTCACACACACACACACACACACAAAAAGTTGGTGAAGGGTTGAAAGAAACGGGGTGGGGGCGGGGAATGTGGAGAGAATGTGAGTAAGAGGGGTGGCTCACACCTGTAATCCCAACTCTTTGGGATGCTGAGGCCAGTGGATTGCTTGAGCCCAGGAGTTTGAGACCCCAGCCTGGGCAACATAGTAAGACCTCATCATTTTTTTCTTTCTTTTTTTTCTTTTTTGTCACCCAGGCCAGAGTGCGTTGGCATGATCTCGGCTCACTGCAACCTCCACCTCCCAGGTTCAAGCGATTCTCCTGCTTCAGCCTCCTAAGTAGCTGGGACTACAGTGCGAGCAACCACACCCAGCTGATTTCTGCATTATTAGTTGAGAGGGGGTTTTACCATGTTGGCCAGGCTGGTCTTGAACTCCTGATTTCAAGTGATCTGCCTGCCTCGGCCTCCCAATGTGCTGGGATTACAGGCGTGAGCCACCGCACCCGGCCCTCATCTTTACAAAAAAAAAAAAATTAGCTGGGCATGGTGGCTCGCACCTCTAGTTGCAGCTACTTGGGAGGCTGAGGCAGGAGGATCACTTGCATCAAGGAGTTTGAGGCTGCAGTGAGTGGCGATTGTACCACTGCACTCCAGCCTGGGCAACAGAGCAAGATCTCCTCTCCAAAACCAAACAACGAATGTGAGTAAGAGGGGGGGCCTGAGAAGGAAGAGTCAGTAAGTGTCTCAGGAATGAGGTGTGGGCCTCTGATGTTCTTCAGGAGAAATGCAGAGAAAACAGTGTGGCATTTCCTTTGGGTTGTGAGACCATTCTTTCTTGAATTTGGCACCATGCGAAGGCTCCTGGATTCGTCATTTTACAGGTGAAGAAATGGAGGCCCAGAGACGTGAGGTAACTTGTCCAAGGTCACACAGCTAGCAAGGGATACAGGGAAGATGGAAACTCAACTCTGACTAATTCCTGAGCCCAATCTTTCAGCAATTAGATAATACAGATCCTCTGTGGTGCCCACACCCCAGAAAGACTGGAGAGCCAGTAGGAGACCGCAGAAGCCTAGAAAGTGCTTTTTCTATTTTTTATTTTTTTGAGAGAGGGTCTTGCTCTGTCGCCCAACTTGGAGTGCAGTGGCACGATCTCAGCTCACTGCAACCTACGCCTCCCAGGTTCAAGCAACTCTGCCACCTCCCAAGTAGCTGGATTACAGGTGCACGCCACCATGCCCAGCTAATTTTTATATTTTTTTGTAAAGACGGGGTTTTGCCATGTTCCCTAGACTGGTCTTGAACTCCTGAGCTCAAGCGATCCACCTGCCTCGGCCTCCCAAAGTGCTGGTTATAGGTGTGAGCCACCACGCACGCTTCAGAAAGCGTTTTTAATTTTTTTCACTCATTGAATCCCTTCAAGGACCCAAGAGGTAGATGTGACTGTCCGCAAACTACAGATGGGCAAAGAGAGTTTCAGCAAAGCCACCGTGACCGAGGTGTCAGGACACAGCGGGGAGTTACCCCTCTCCTCCGAGTCGCAGTCTCTTTCTTTTTCTTTTTAGAGACAGGGTCTTGCTCTGTCACCCAGGCTGGAGTGCAGTGGTACAATCACAGCCCACTACAGCCTCTACCTCCCAGTCTCAAGTGATCCTCCCACCTTAGCCTCCTGAGTAGCTAGGACCACAGATGCATGCACCTGCACGCCCTGCTAATTTTTTTAGTTTTTATAGAGATGTGGGTCTTACTATGTTGCCCAGGCTGGTCTCAAACTCCTGGCCTTAAGTGATTCCCTCTGCCTTGGCTTCCCAATGTGCTGGGATTACAGGCATGAGCCACTGTGCATAGCCCCCCTCGGTTTTTGTTTCATTTTGTTTTTTGAGACAGAGTTTCACTCTGTTGTCCAGGCTGGAGTGCAGTGGCCTGATCTTGGCTCACAGCAACCTCTGCCTCCCAGGTTCAAGCAATGCCTCAGCTCAGGCTCCTGAGTAGCTGAGATTACAGGCACCTGCCACCATGCCTGGCTAAATTTTGTATTTTTAGTAGAGACCGGGTTTCGCCATGTTGGCCAGGCGGATCTCGAACTCCTGATCTCAGGTGATCCGCCACCCTCAGCCTTCCAAAGTGCTGGGATGATCACAGGCGTGAGCCAGCAAGCCCAGCCCCTGTTTTCTTAGTCTATAGGTAAAGAGAACAGTTCACCTCCCCACCACATGGCATAGCTAGGAGGAGTCTATGCTGCACTGAAACATGTCCCCCGAAAATCCATGTCCACGCAGACCTCAGAACAGGACCTCATTTGGAAACAGGATCTTTGCAGATGCCATTAGTTAAGGATCTCAGGGTGAGGGCATCCTGGGTTTACAGTGGGTCCTAAACCTCAGGACAGGTGTCCTTGCAAGAAGAGGAGGGCACAGAGAGACAGGGAGAAGGTCATGTGATAACATGGGCAGAGATTGGAGCTGTGCAGCCATGAGTCAGGAATGCCTGCAGCCACCAGGAGCTGCAAGAGACAGGGAAGGATCCTCTCCTGGAGCCTCCGGAGGGAGTGAGGCCCTTATCCAGGCCATGTTCTCGGACTTCCAGCCTCCAGGACTGCGGGAGAACACATGTCTGCTGTTTAAGCACCCAGATTGTCCTGTTTCCTTTCAGCGGCCCCAGAAAGCTAACGCAGTGATTAAGACACTAACTTGGGGGCAGGTGCGGTGACTCATGCCTGTAATCCCAGCACTTTGGGAGGCCGAAGCGGGCGGATCACCTGAGGTCAGCAGTTCGAGACCAGCCTGGCCAACATGGTGAAACCCCATCTTGACTAAAACTACAAAAATTGGCCGGGCGCGGTGGCTCAAGCCTGTAATCCCAGCACTTTGGGAGGCCGAGGCGGGTGGATCACGAGGTCAGGAGATCGAGACCATCCTGGCTAACATGGTGAAACCCCGTCTCTACTAAAAATACAAAAAACTAGCCGGGCGTGGTGGCGGGCGCCTGTAGTCCCAGCTACTCGGAGGCTGAGGCGGGAGAATGGCGTGAACCCGGGAGGCGGAGCTTGCAGTGAGCCGAGATCGCGCCACTGCACTCCAGCCTGGGCGACACAGCGAGACTCCGTCTCAAAAAAAAAAAAAAAAAAAACCTACAAAAATTAGCCAGGCGTGGCCAGGCGTGGTGGCTCATACCTGTAATCCCAGCATTTTGGGAGGCCAAGGCGGGTGGATCACGAGGCCAGGAGACGGAGACCATCCTGACTAACACAGTGAAACCCCATCTCTACTAAAAATACAAAAAACTAGCCGGGCGTGGTGGCGGGCGCCTGTAGTCCCAGCTACTCAGGAGGCTGAGGCAGGAGAATGGCGTGAACCCGGGAGGCGGAGCTTGCAGTGAGCCAAGATTGCGCGGCTGCACTCCAGCCTGGGCGACAAAGCAAGACACTGTCTCAAAAAAAAAAAAAAAAAATTAGCCAGGCATGGTGGCACATGCCTATAATCCCAGCTACTCAGGAGGCTGAGGCAGGAGAATTGCTTGAACCCAGGAGGCAGAGGCTGCAGTGGGCCAAGATCGCACCACTGCCCTCCAGCCTGGGAGACAAGAACGAAACTCTTGTCTCAAAAAAAAAAAAAAAAAAAGGCAATTAACTTAGGGCCAGGTTCAGTGAGCAGCCACTACCATTGTGATGGTTGCTTAAGGAGAGTCCTCCTTCCGGAAGCTTCTCTCCTGTTCTCCCATGGCCCAGCATGGCACTGATGGTGAGATCCATGACCCTGATGGGAAAGGGTATGGCCTCCCCAGAGCCCAGGTCCCCGGTCAGGGCCACACACCAACCTCGTGAATTGGCGGAGTTAGCAGGATGTGGACGGAGGGCAAAGAGAGAAGAGATTCTGGCTTTACCAGTTTTCTTGATGGTGTGGCTTTCGACAACCTGTAACCCTCACTTTGGATCAAACACAGAAGCATCAGCACCAGCAGGGCCAGCTGCCTAGGGCCTGCATCCGTTATCATAGTCAGAGAGAAGATAGAGCCTGGGCCTCTGTGGCCCACGCATTGTGTCAGAGCAAGCGGCCTTTGCCACGCTTTGGTGATTTGAGACCAAACTGGGCTCATTCATGCAACAAATACACACTGGTCCCTGACAGCCAGACCCCATACCAAAAGCCAGGTGCTCATCGATCTTAGCAGACACGGCCCCTGCCCTAACAGGCCACGTCTACGGGGAGAGACACACATCGAAGAACCCAAAGGAGGATGTACAGACCACAGCTGCCAGCTACACGAAGAAGAGAGGAGGGAGAAGGGCAGGAAGAGACTGCCGCAGACAGGTCATCAGCACAGACCTCCCTGGGGGTCTGGTCTCTGTCCCTAGTTCCTGGCTCAGACCTTCAAAAAGCTGTCCCGAGTGACAGGAATATCTTTGCTATGCTACTGGGTGGGCTCCTAGATAGCACCAGAAGGGACTAGTCACCAGAAAGACCAAGCAAGTGACTAGAGGGTGGGAACCTTGGGTGACCCGACCTCTTCCAGGCAGGCAAGGATGGCTGGAGATCCAGTCCCGGCATAACCACTCATGCCTGCGTCATGGAACCCAGTAAAAAGCCTGAACACTGAGGCTCGGGCGGCTTCCTGGTTGGGGAACTCGGTGATGTTCTGGGAGCTGGCAGGCCCTGCCCCAGAGAGGGACAGCATGGCTGGACCTCACCTGTCCTGCTGCCTGGACTTGGAGCTACCATTCCAGCTTGCAGCTTGGAGGTAGCTCAGCCACTGTCTCACCACAGTCTCTGCTGCTGCTGCAGGGATGGCTCTGGGAGAGGCGAGGCAGAAGTGTACCTCCTCTATAGATCAGAGGTTGGAGGGCCCTGGGTTCACTCACACGGCCCTACAAGTAGACCCGTGTCTGTGCTTCTTTCTTTCAGAGTGAGGCTGACACCTGTCCTCTCTAATCCATGGCCAAGCTGCAAGTTCACAGGCAGCTGTGGTCCAGGAGCAGGAAGGCAGCCCGGGGCACAGGAGGAGGTGGGAGTGGCAACTGGTTCTGATCAGGGGGATGGGACACTGTTTTTACACCCATATGCACACATGTACAGGCAAGCATACACACAGAAAGGCATGTGTGTGCACAAACATGCTTGTGCACACACATGCACACATAACACACACAAAAACACACGCACACAGAAAGACACATGTGTACAAATGCATGTGCACATATAACACGTGCACACAAATATGTGCACACACGAATGCACAAACACACACACAGGCGTAGGCACTAGCATGCATGCATGTACACACACACTAACGGAGCCACCCTGTCCTCTGCCTGGAGCCTGGGGTTTTCACTACACTGTGGAGGGGACAGGTTAGACCTGGGCGTTGCAGCCCGTGTGCAGCCTTCACTGCATCCTGGGGTGAACACACCAGCCACAAAAGGCATCTGGGGGAAAACTGGGGAAATGTAACAATAGGCGAGATGCCAGAGGATGTTGAGGAAGCACTGCTCATTTGGTTGGGAATGATAACCACACTGTGGTTTTGGAGGGAAATGTCCCTGTTTTGGAACGGCCTATTAAGCATGTGGGGGTGAAATGTCATGATGTTTGTATTTTACTTTAAATATACAAGCAAGGCTGGGCACAGTGGCTCACGCCTGTAACCCCAGCACTTTGGGAGGCCGAGGCAGGCAGATCACTTGAGGTCAGGAGTTCAAGACCAGCCTGGGGCAACATGGCGAAACCTCGTCTCTACTAAAAATATAAACAAATTAGGCCGGGCGCGGTGGCTCAAGCGTGTAATCCCAGCACTTTGGGAGGCCGAGACGGGCGGATCACGAGGTCAGGAGATAGAGACCATCCTGGCTAACGCGGTGAAACCCCGTCTCTACTAAAAAATACAAAAAACTAGCTGGGCGAGGTGGCGGGTGCCTGTAGTCCCAGCTACTCGGGAGGCTGAGGCAGGAGAATGGCGTAAACCCGGGAGGCGGAGCTTGCAGTGAGCTGAGATCGGGCCACTGCACTCCAGCCTGGGCCACAGAGCGAGACTCCGTCTCAAAAAAAAAAAAATAATAAAAATAAACAAATTAGCCTGGCGTGATGGCAGGCACCTGTAGTCCCAGCTACTCGGGAGGCTGAGGCAGGAGAATGGCTTGAACCCAGGAGGCAGAGGTTGTAGTGAACTGAGATCACGCCACTGCACTCCAGCCTGGGCGACAGAGGGAGACTCCATCTCAAAAATAAATAAATAAATAATATTTTTAGGCCGGGAGCAGTGGCTCACTCCTGTAATCCCTGCACTTTGGGAGGCCGAGGCGGGTGGATCACGAGGTCAGGAGATCGAGACCATCCTGGCTAACATGGTGAAACCCCATCTCTACTAAAAATACAAAAAATTAGCCGGGCATGGTGGCGGGCGCCTGTAGTCCCAGTTACTAGGGAGGCTAAGGCAGGAGAATCGCTTGAGCCCAGGAGGCGGAGGTTGCAGTGAGCTGAGCTGAGATCGCACTACTACACTCCAGCCTGGGTGACAGAGCAAAACTTTGTGTCAAAAAAAAGAAGGAAAGAAGGGCCAGGCATGGTGGCCCACACCTGTAATCCCAGCACTTTGGGAGGCCAAGGTGGGAGGATCACTTGAGCCCAGGAGGTTGAGACCAGCCTGGTCAACATAGCAAGACCCTATCTTTAATCCAAAAAATATATATTAATTAATTTTTTTTTTTTTTTTTTTTTTACTTTATTTTTTTAAGACAGAGTCTCACTCTGCGACCAGGCCTGGAGTGCAGTGGTGCACATCTCCACTCCACTGCAAGCCCCCCCACTCCCGTGGCTCATGCCAATTCTCCTGGTTCAGGCCTCCTGAGAGCTGGGACTCACAAGGGCCACCTGCCACCACACTTGGCTATTTTTTGTATTTTTAGTAGAAGACATGTTTCCACCAAATGTAGCCAGGATGGGTCTCATTCATCCTGCTCATGATCTGCCCTCCTCAACTCCAAGTGCTGGGATTACAGGTAACTGAGACCACTGGCCACCAGTAAATTAACTTTTTTATTTTTTTTGAGTGAGCTCGCTCTGATTGCGACACTAGGCTGGAGTGCAGGTGGCAGATCATCAGCTCACTGCAAGCATCCGCCTCCCGTTCACACATTCTCCTGCCACCTCCGAGTAGCTGGGACTACAGGTGCCCGTCATCCTCTCGCAGCCTAGTTTTTTGTATTTTTTAGTAGAGATGGGGTTTCACCTGTTAGGACTCAGGATGTCTCGATCTCCTGACCTCGTGATTTCCCAATCTTGGCCTCCCAAAGTGCTGGGATTACAGGCTCGAAGCCATCGGCCCGCCCCACCTGGCTAATTTTTTGTACTTTTTAGTAGAGATGGGGTTTCACCATGTAAGCCAGGATGGTCCTTGATCTCCTGACCTCGTGATCCGCCGCCTTGCCTCCCAAAGTACTGGGATTTACAGGTGTGAGCCAACCACGTCCAGCCTAATTAACTTTTTAAAAATTAAAAAAGAAGAAGATAGTATATGCAGGCACATTGGACAGGCCACGTTTGGGGAGGGGATCAGGTGGGCCTGGTATGGAACCTGAGACACGTAGCTCCCACCCAAGGCCAAAAAA